AAAAACTGGTCTTAATTATACAAATTCGGCAGAAACTACAAAAAGCCAAGCGCGGAGACAGATAACTTTACGTTTTGGGGTAAAAGCAAAACGTGTTTAGCTTTCTATTTAAACTATGCAAATTCGCATTGATTATTTATTTTCTTGGCTATAGTAGAAATAACAAAAATAAAACCCCCCCTTCGAGACCAAAAGTAAGAAGCAAAAAAAAAAAAGGTGAAGAAAAAAAACACCGTAGAAAACAGCCATAAAAAGGAGCGTTCGATCGATCGGCTCAGGTGGAATATGCATAACCGGTCAAAGACCAAAGAGAACCTGATCGCAACTCGATTTAGTTGGATTGCTCGGCTACTCGATTGGGTTCTAGAACCCGTACACAGAACCACAGAACCACAGAACCGCAGAGCCGCAGAATGAACCACTGGGATCGAGAACGGCCGTCGCGTATTTCCTTAAGTTGGCCATAAAATATGATTTAGCCACATATTATTTATGGCCCGCAACCAGATCTCTGATTCAGAACGTGCATCCATAACTGATTCCTAATATTCCATTCAGATTCAATCAGGCCCTGGACATGCTCCACTAATGACAACCAGCTCTCGCCAAAATAAAATTAGGGGCGTTGTCATAGTCCACCTACAAGAATTAATTTTATTCCGGACGGGGGGATGGATGATTCCTGCATGTGCTTCGATGCAAATGAGACGGATTAACGGACGGACTCGATCGAACCAGTTCCCCACTAGAGAGATGTAGGCAGATCGAATCAGATCGGATCCGAGTATCGAATATCAGTATCAGCTCGCTAGGTGATGGGCTGCTCCAAAATGGACCTGGTCAGATTTATGGAACCGTCTACAAGGAGAGGCTCACCATTAAAGATCTGCATATCAATAGATTAATAGATGCACTGATAGATACGGCTTAATTTGGCCAATAAATTGAACAAATTATACATAAGGGGGTTGGAATTGCTATGGAAACCATGAATAAGAATCAATATCACACAGTGATACATGTGCTAATTATATATGTAGAACATTGAGTCACAAGAAGTTCTTATAAGTAAGGTAGAATAAATATAAGAAATATTCGGCAAAAAGTCAAAAATTATCATGATAATTAACGAAAAAAAGAAGATAGACAAATTGATAACATGTTATCTTAGTTGGAATATGTGTGACTTGATTGCAATTTCGGTAAACTAATATAATAAAATAATTTTAGAAGGTTTTTAATTTTCAAGTTTTATTAATCTGACTTCATTCATTTAATTTTGATTTTAGTAAGGTGTTTTCTTAACTTCACAATACAGCTATAATTGATTTAGGTCTAGCACATTTAAAAACTGCAACCTTTTTTTTATCAATGAAACATTTAGGATTTAGTATCTAATAGAAACAACCTTAGTCCAATTTGCTAGGTAAAAATGCAAAATCAATAAAGTTTTCCTGGCAAAGCCAACAACTTCCGCAGACATTATTCAAGGATATTTTTGAAGCCTACTTTTTGGGTTGTTGAATGAAAACTCTTAATGCTTGGGAAAATTTTCCCATGTCCGGAATATTAGTGGAGCCCCACTGTCTCGTGAAATCTTAAATTAAGGCCTAATTTAATGGCGCTTCGTCATGCCGGTCAAATTTAGGCCTGATTTCAGTGGCTGTTTTTGAGTTCGATTTAAGCTTTTACATATTTTTTACATCATCCGTCCCGCAGAAGCCTCAAGGGCAAAGAGAAAAAAAGAAGGAGAGAGAACCTAATCGATTCGAATCGAATAGAACCGAATGGAACAGAACTAAATGTTTTGGTTTCTAAGAAATCTCGTTTCTGTCTCCTTATAATTGCTAATTTATTTATTTATTTTATATTCTTTTTTTCAGCTCTTTCTTTATTGTTTTGGCTAAGCGTTGACTGGGAAAAAATAAACAGAGAAACGAACGTTGAAAAATCAACAAAGATCAAATGCTCTTTTAAAATGTGTAATTCTTTTTATTGTTGAGTTAAAGATGATTTGTGTTCATAATTGTACTTTTAGTGGAACTAACTTTTGTATGTAATTCGAATGCAATAGTTCAAAATCCTCTGTATTTTATTATTTGATTATGCTAAATATTTGCAAAGTTCACAAAAAGATAGTTATTGTAAACGATTTACAAATTGCAGAGCTTACATTGACCTTTTAATATTTACTATGCAGTGAAACAATCTTGAATTAGTTTGTTGATCTCTCAATGAGTGTCAGATAGTCATAATACCCCAACAATAGTGACAAAAGTCGGCTAAAATTCGGCAAAATCAAAGCGGCCAGCGAAACGAGGGAACTGGGGGCTGCGTAACAAGTTGTTCGATCTGTTAATTTGCCAAAGAAATCACTGGCAGGCACGGGCGAAGGAGCGCAATAAAAATTAGAGACACGACACGGGCAAATGAAACACTTTCTTTTCGATTTGATTCGCATATGCATATGCAAATGGCAAATGTAAGCTGGAGATCCACAAAATTCGCGTTAAGCGGATGGTAATTAATGCGGCAGCTGCAGGCTTTTACCTGGAACTGAGGCGATGACAATTAATGGGGTGATGAGATGAGTCAGATTACTCCGATCGGATCTCCGGTGTTCGATGCTCGCTCGGTCGCCAAGTGCCAGCCACTCCCTTCGGGCGGTATTAGATAACTCGTTTGAAGCTCTAAGTGAGACATCAAGATCGGCTCAAAATCGAAGACAAAACTCCGGGGCGTGTGTGCAAGTATGCATAACAAATGCGATTCGAAAGATATCAAAGACACGGCACAAGACACGCCAACAGACACCAGGTTATGTTCCAAGGCGAACTAACTAACGAACAGCCATCACCAAACTGACAAGTCGCTGAAATGGCCAAAAACGTTTTCATTAGGCCAAGAAGATCGGCCGGCGCAACCAGAAGAAGAATATCGTATCGCCAAAGACCCCACCAAATCACACAAAATCCACACGCTCCTCAGCTGCCCGATGAAAAATGAATGCCGTGCGGCGTTCGCTTAAGTTATTAAGCATAAAACTTAAATTAGAGGCACCATTAGCGATTATCATTGGAGCTGCGTGTCCGGTCCGGTTTGATTTCAATCTCATCTCCCCCGATGGGAAAGCGTTTTTTAATTGACTTGATAGCTGCCAAAAGTCAACGCTTTTCCGCACCGAGAAGTTTATGCGAAAATTAGCAACTTCGCATTTGGAACTGAGATTCTGGGAACAGCTAAGAGTTTTATGGAGTCAAGCGACTGAAAGTTGAAACACTAATTTACTATCTTAAGTTTCTGGAAATGCAAAACGATCGAGATAAATATAGGCAGCAAAACAAACAAAACGAAATGTTTTCATAACATATTTTGTCTGTGTTGGAAACAATGTTTGAGTATTCAAATAAGGTGCCTATAAAAAACTGTGGCTACGAATAAAAAATATAAAAAAAGCTTACCCGATATTTTGTGCTATAATAAAATACAAAAAATGTTTGCAAAATCCGCCCGGAAGTTTTTAATATTAAACAGTAAAGTATTACAAATTTATTTAAGTCCTATAAAGCTTAAGTTTTTGTTTTCATACATATATCAGAATTTGAATAAACGGTTTAATGCAATAAAAATATTAGAGATCAAAATTTTCATACGGTAATTAATTAATCAAGAACTAGTTCATTAAAAATGATAATTTGAACATTATTTTTTTAATAGGTTACCTATAAAAATATGAAATATTACCATAACAAAAATGAATTCTTCACAATACAAAGTTGTAAGCTCATGAAGATTCTTTAAGAAGTTTTAAACATAGATCGAGAAGATAAATAAATTTCAAGTTTTTCGAAGATCACCGACAATGGAACAATTGGACCGTCAAAAAGGAGACAAGATAAAGACTCACCGACTGAAAACAAATCATACCGTAAATACAGCCATTAGTGTAACCAATCAGTATGCAAATGAGGGAAATACAAAACGTTGAAAAGCTACCGAAAGCCGAAAGCCGAAAACCGAGAACCGAAAACCCCACTCATCGGATGACCCTGTGCGGGTTAAATGGCATTTCCAAAGGCCCCAAGACACCGAGACCACGAGACCCCAACAGGCACTGATCCGCCAGAAGAATCCGACGGAAAGAATCGCATTTGATAAATTTTGATAAGACCGAAACGGAACGACTAATTAAGCGAAGGCTAAGCGCCGAACGAGACCTGATGCATTAACATATATGAAGGCATGAGAATGGGGCATCTTATCAGCGGAGAAGAATCACCATCGCTGTCGAAGAAGAATCGAAGAGTTGGAGAATCGGAGATTCGTTGGCTCCATTCAGCATTCATCAGTACTTTCGGAACTTGAAGCTCGAACTGGTCGCCCAAAAATCGTTAATCGTGAATCGACGCATATTTCATCGTTAGTATATATATTTTATATATATTCCATGCTTTATAAAAAATTAACGCAGATTTAAATTTACGCACATGCACACTCTTTCACACACATATAGTACACTCTAAAAAAAACACACACACACAGAGAGGGAGAATCATCATTAAACGTGTATGCTAATTTGATGATGGCGGTTTTCTAATTTTGTTGCCCCGAAAACCAGATTTCTATGCTGCGATCAGTCTCCGTCAGCAACCGAAAGCCCAGAAGAATTGGCCAGAAGACCCTAAAATGTAACATCTTCTTGGCGACTGGGGGCAGCCCCCATCAGCCCATCAGCCCATCCACATTCGATGGATGATCGCCTCGATTTGGGCTAATCCCCTCCCTCTTTGTTTTGTATATTTTTGGTTAGTCTTAGCCGTTGACAAACTTTGGCTTTGGCTTTGGCTTTTTTTTTCGATATTCTAAGCGGCAGCGACGCCGGCAGAGGCTCAGTTCGTTGTCCGGTTCCTATTTCTGCCGACGTCGCTGCCGGCGCAGCAGATAATACCATATATAAGGAAACAAGAAGTCGCATCGTTTGTATTTATTTGCTAGAATCAGTGAGCATCGGAACTAACCGAGCCGCTACAAAATAATATAGAGTCCTCGTTTCGAATTTTTTTTCACCACACACACACACAAACATGAAGAGTTTTGTAAGTGCCTAAATAATACAAAAAATATTGATCTCGAAAACAGCCTAAGAAATATTTCAAACTTTTTTTTGGTGGATCAAAAAGGATCAAGTGAAAGTGCGCGAAGTAAATGTCCTTAAAAGTGTGAAGATTTAAAAATCATAGGAACGACTTTAAAAATTATTTTGAAAATTAAAAACACAATTTTGAAAATTACTTGATATTGATAAAAAGTAAAAACGTATCTGAAAGTAAATACAAACAACAATTAAAACTAAAGGATTCCCCATTGATTCCGTATTTCGGGAATTGGTTAATTAATTTGAAGTATATAAAGAATAAAAACGAATTAAAATTCTTTAAATATAAGTTTAAATTCAAATTGACCTAAAAGAAATGAAAATGTTCATATCAATGACCCACACTTTAAGGAAAAGTCCGAGACAAAATTGATGGGATCACCTTGAGCGACCGCACAGCTCATCAACGTCAAAACAGACGAATGACAAATATCGAAACGGTTGGAACCCATTATGATTAGTGCCTCGGCCCGAAACCAAATCAAATAAATCACGGCAAATACAGACAAAATATATAAAAAAAAATAAAACATCGTTAGACTCGCGAGACAAAGCGACGCTATGCGGTCAGAAACGCCAGCAAATCGCGCGCGACTTTGATTAATTGCCCGCTAATGCGAAATGCAAAATACGAACACGAATACGAGAAATTAAATCGAAATTGAAGCGTCAAACGCCTGTGATCCACAGATCCACAAAACATGAAATGCTTAATCGAGCGATGGCGTTTTAACTAGACATTTTCTTTACCATCCTTGCAGCTGATCCTTCTGGGTTTCGCGGCTCTGGCGGCTGCCGATGTCAAACATCTGACAGATCGCAATCTCGACCTGTTCAAGTACAACCCCAGCGACGTCTACACCCTGCCCGAGGACATCGACGACGAGAAGCCGGCGGTCCACTTCAGCGGCGACGTGATGAAGGCCAAGACCGAGACCCTCCAGAACTACAATTCCGGCAAGAAGTTCAAGCTGGAGTGAGTATTTGCGCAGATTATTAGTGATGAAATAATATATGACCTGCAATAATATAAAGCTTAAAAATTATACAAAACTCAAGACAATATTTACATAATAGTAGAATATTATTTAATCGTTTGATATATTTTCAAAATTATTTTATTTCCGTTTCAAACAACCTATTAGCATTCTCTCTTTTTAGTCCTTCCTTTTAAAAAACCTAATAATTTCTTTAGTTAGAAATAACTTTAAATTTGCAAATCGTTATTGATTTTATGAATATTTTATTTTGTTACAAAAAATTTGAAGTATTTTCTAAACTTTACCAACACATCTTTTCATGAAGTAGATGACCCTTATACATAATTAAAAACAACTTTTAAATTAACTTTTTATATCTTTGGTAATCGAAATAAAAAGTTTTACATTTTTACTAAATGAAGTAGATGACCCTTATACATAATTAAAAACAACTTTTAAATTAACTTTTTATATCTTTGGTAATCGAAATAAAAAGTTTTACATTTTTACTAAATAAAACTCCTTTTTTACAGACTCAAGACCCAGAACGGAATCGAAGTGAGCAGCGTGGGCAAGCTGAAGGACGACAAGACCTTCGTGGTCAGCGGTTCCTACTCGTTCACCGGCGCCGATGGCAAGCGGTACAAGACCCGTTACACCGCCGATGAGTTCGGCTACCATCCCATCACCGAGCTGGATCTCGACATTCCCGAGTAAGTATTTAAAAATAACGAAAATGTATAAAAACCTTTAAAGTAGTTTCAACAGCTGAAACAAAAATAAGAAATTAAAAGCTGTTGGAATTATTTTTTTTAAATCTGAAACTTTTAAATCTGAAACTTGAAACAATTAAAAACAATACATATTTTAAAAAAATATATATATAAATACATTTTATATTTGAAATTACTTTCAAAACCCATTTTTTTTATTCATATTATTACATTCAATTTAAATAAAATTTTCAGAAAGAGCTTATTTTTATTTGATAATGCAAGTTTAAGAAACTTTCCTAACTGAAAACAAAACAGAAAAAATAAAATAATCATGTTTTGAGAAAATATTTTAAAAATTGATATTACAAAAAAATGTTTGGAACACTGTCTTATAAAAGTAATCCATATTAATTTTTTAGGCCCCAGCCCCTGGCCGCCGCCGCCCAGCGCCAGCCCGTGGATCCCAGCAGCCTGCTGGGCAACAAGAACCGCTTCCAGTTCCTGCAGCAGACTTTGGAGTCCGAGCAAGGACCTCTGCGGGGCAGTGGACAGAGCGGCGATGACTACAGCTACTCGTCTCCCTATGGAAGTGGAAGCGGATTTGGCATCGGAAACGGCAACTACGGAAGCGGAAACGGCAATGGCAACTACGGAAGCGGAAACGGAAACGGCTACGATTACCAGCCCCCTCAGGTTCCCCTTTCCACGCCATCTCGTCTGTACCTGCCAACGGCATAAGGTGGTTTTCGCTAAATCCACCTCTATTATATATATATTTATATATGTATGACCCCCCCAAGAAATCAAAAATACCTTTTCCCCTTCCCGATCCCCCGATTTTCCCCAGCTGCAAGTATTTAGTGTTTTAAGTGCAACTCCAACAGGCAAACGATGAGTAAACATGGCAAATCACAGAGCTAGCGAAATTTTTTTTTATCATTTTTTAGTGTTATACACGGAGCACAATTTTATATGATATTATACCTATATGCACGGATATATGTTATATATCTACCCCCAACACAAACACACACACACAAAACACAAAACAAACACACACACACACACACAAATCCCGACAAAAGAAACACACGAATCTATGTATATACACTGAGTGATATTAGTAGTAAATAAAATGGCTAAACTAACGATCAAGCTCTTAATTGGTTTTAATTGGGGATCTTAACGATAGATTTAATTAGGGGATCTAATGGTTCAGAAGTGGTCTAGACTTCTTTGAAGACCTTGGCTTAGGTAAATAAAAAAGTCCATAAATAAGCAATAAGCAAAATAGCAAAAGACTTTCGTTTTTTACCAAGTTCTTGGGTTCTTCAAATTGGAACGGATTTTTTTTTTAATTTTTAATATATTTTAAACGGAGCTCCAAAAACATTTCTGTATTGGTAGACACAAGTGTCGGGGTTTCGATTAAAGCCGAAAAGCAGGCAAATGAAACAAGTTTTAAACTTAGAAATATTGCAATTGTTCTACCAACTTTCAGAATATATATATTTTTTAAATTTTGTGGGGGTCCACTTGAAATTTCTGCAAACTCATTCATGTTTCTAGACCTTTTCAAAGTTGGATATCAGTTTTTTTTTTTTCAATTCGGGGAAATTTCTGTTTTTCTGAATTGTTTAGCTTTTTCCTTTCGCTTTTCAGCCTTTCAAATTTTGTAACTACAATCCCAATCCAGAGATAATAGTTCCACCTCTTAAAAAAAAACAAATTTTCATGATTTTCGAAAGTTTATTTGACTTTTTGCTCGTTTATGAACTACGATCCCATTTGGGTGCGTTCCTTGGTCCTTTGCTGTCCCTCCAGCAGCGCCTAGTGCTCGAAGGAGTACTTGGTGTAGTAGTCGTGGAAGAAGGAGTAGTCGAAGTGGCCCAGGTTGGTGTATCCCTTGAACTGCTGGTACTTCTCCATGGGCTCCTCGTGGTAGATCTCCACGTCGGCGAAGTACATGTTGGGCACGAGGAACTCGGTCTCGTCGATTGTCCTGTCGAAGGGATAACCGAACGGCAGGCTGTCCACGAATCGGGATCCGGAGCCAATGCCGCAGGAGTGAATGTGGTCGAAGGTGGAGTATTGCTTGTGTTCGGGTTCCTCGTAAGCGGTCACCATGAAGAACATCTGCATGGGCATTCCGTTCCTCCAGCCCATGGGCAAGATCAGGCGATCGGGGAATCCGCAGTGGGGCTCACTAATGTCCAGTGGGAACTCGTACTTGCCATCGAAGGCCAACATCACGTAGTGGTAGAGCTCAGTGTAGGTGGTGCGATCCTTGGTGGTCCATTGGTATTCGTTCGACTTGCGGATGATCTGGTTGGTGCCCGCCTTCAGTTCGTAGGTAAACTCGTCGATCTCCACGAAGTTCATGCGGTTGTCGGCCAGCGAGATGGTCCTGCCGAACTCATCGAACTTGGGACCCAAGAATGCACGGATCACCACCTTCTCCTCCTTGCTGGATTCGATGGTGTAGGTCTGGGTGAGGGGTTTGTGGTTCAGTCGCATCTGGCGGGCGAAGAGCGCCTTGTCCCACACGAACTGACCCTCGTGGAAGGTCATCTTTCCGTTGAGCAGATTGGTCACATCGTGGTCAACCAAATCGAAGTAGGTGGTCATCTTGCCAATGTCCACGTGCTTGAGGGTCACTCCGTCCAACAGGAGCTGCTCCTTGGTGTACTTGGGCAGGTGGTGGGTGAACTGGTGGTAAACCTCGGCGATTTCCTTGTAGAAAGTGTAGAACAGAGGATCGCGCATCATGGTCTCGAAGTTGAGCATCACGTGGGGAATAACCTCCATCTGCTGGTAGTCCACTTCTGCGATGTACATGTGGGCGAGGAGGTACCAGAACTGGAAGAACATCTTGTCGGCGGCGTCGATGTTGCCCTGCATCAGGTTGCCCACGAATTCGAGGGATTCGGGTTTGCGGAGATCGATCTTGTGGCCATCGCTGGTGAGGTAGTAGCCCAGATCGATGATGTTGTGCACGCGGTTCAGGAAGCCGGTGATCCTGCCGAGCATTTCGAAGTTGCCATGCGTCTCCATTTCGTAGTAGTTCTTGCGGGTGCTGAAGCCCACGCCGCCGTAGTGGATCAACTGGGGATTGTAGCCCATCTCGATTTCGTGGTGCCACGAGAACTCGGGAATCTCGCCCATCCTGTGGGAGAGACGCTCCATGTGGTATCTGCCCAGCAGCTGGTGCACATTGTGCAGCCACCACTCGCCACGTCGGTCGTTTTTCAGGCCAAAGGTGTTGGAGTCCAGGTAGAAGGCGTAGTCCATGTTCAAGTAGTACCAGTAGGCGTTCCATCCCAGATCCTCGGTGAAGTAGGTCAGCTTGGACTCCAAGTTGGTGAGCTGGAGGTCACGGCTGTAGTCCACCGGCATGTAGAACTTCTGCACGTCCTTCATCATGGCCAACCACTTGGCGTCCTGGTTGAACTCGTAGCTGTTCTCCCGCAGGATGTACTTGTCCTCGTGGTGGAAGTGCTCGCCCAGACCCATCAGTTTCCACCATTGCCAGGTCTTGAAGTCCTTGATGTACATGTAGTCGCTGGTCTGCAGGCCCTGTCCGTATGTCTGTCCGTATGTTTGTCCGTGGCCCTGTCCGTATTTGGTATCCTTGTGGTAGACATCCATGTACTCCTTCTCGTACAGGCTCATCCTCATCCACATATCGTAGTCGAACTTCTCGGCCTCCATCACGAACTTGCTGTGGAAGAAGTACTGCGGGAAGATCTCGTGGATGGCGGGCAGGATCAGTCCCTGGAGGTCCTCGCGGTGGATCACGGCCAGGGTCAAGGCGTGGACAAACATGCCCTCGTTGACGTGCATGCGGGCCCAGACCGCGTTGCCCATGAAGGTCTCCCAGTCCTTGGCGAAGTAGAAGAAGTTGAACAGACCGCGGGCCTGCTTGGCGTGGTATTTCACCAGGGCACCGAAGAACTCTCCCTTGGGCAGGAGAGCGTGTGCCTTGTGGGCCTCGAAGAACTTAGTCATGTACAAGTCATAGTGCTGTCAAGGGATATAAGTATGAATTATAATAAAAAGAAATGTCATACATGCTCAAAATATCATAGACCATTAGTTGCTTAGACTTTGAGGTGAATACGGACAGACATACGGACAGACAAACGGACAAGGCTATATCATTTTGACTGATAATCTTAATCAGTAAATTTAAATTTTAAAAAACAATATTTACGGAGTATGTAAGTAAATTGAATTTAAATAGAGTAATGTAAACTGATAAAGCCTTAGCAAAATTATTCTTATCAATCAAATTTTTTCCACTCACAGTGTAATGTGTCTCCTCGAAGTAGAACTTGTTACCCATCTTGATGTACTCCACGAAGGCCAGGGGCTCATCCACGCGGTAGAGGATCTCGAAGAGGAACTTCTGCTTCTGGAGAAAGGTTTGGTCGGCGATTGTGACCTTGTGCGACTGGTGGACACTGGCCGCGGCGACCAGGCCCAAACAGGCCAGCAATGCGATGGCGATCTTCATGGCAGAACTTCTACTCTTGACTTGCTACTTCAACTGCTCCGGATTGGATGCACTCGGTGGATCCAAAGCCTAAAGACTGTTGCTTGACTGACGCCCAACGGTCTGCTTTTATAGCCCCGATTCCTGGCGCATCGAGAGAGATATATCTGTTGCTGTGACGCGGCTCGGAATCAAATTCGGGGTCAGGGGTCGTCGGGTGTATCTCAGGTGCTCGTCTCGTGCCATCTGTTGCTACTCCAGCGGATTCGCTTATCACCTGGCTCGCCTCCCTTGGTCCCACTTATCGAGTGCCGAGTTCTATTCTTATTCGCAAGCAACAAATGCAGTTGCAGTATCAAATTTAATTTGAAAATGTTTTCAACAGGAGGAAACCACTTCAGGTCTAGCAATTGCGAAAGGTTTGGTTTTCACTTCACTGTTTAAAAACAATTTCAATTTTGTTTATCTAGTTAAGGTTTCGAAGAAACTTTAATAAGAATAAAAAAGTCCTTCTTGAAAATATTTTCCATTTAAAAAACATATTGTTTGTTGTCCTTAAAATGCTAAACCGAAATTGTTTTGTAAAAAACAAACGTATTTATTTTAACATCTTTGTACAAATATTTGTTTCAATAGTACTTTTTAGCTGAGGTTGATTAATAAATTTATTAAAAATTTATATATTTTGTATATTTAAATCATTACCTTAATTATTTTATTATAGGTTATAAAATATATATTTCAATTATATTAAAACTATTTATAGTAAATATTTTGTTTTTTTTTAATAAAACAGCAAAATAAACTATGTATGTATATAGTATACACTTTACTTACTAAATTTTGTATATTGATCAAAATAAAAGGCGAAGCTGAGGATCAGCAGCGGTAATACAAAATTAATATAATTTTTCTAGAAACTATTGGAACATCCTTTTTTATATATATTTTAGAAGTAAAAAAATATTTTATTTATAATAACTTTTTACACAGCACTCTCAGCCTGGAAGTATGCAGGTAATAATAGGGGAACCTCCTCATCGTCTCAGCTGGTTCGAAGCAGTGATTCGATCCGCTCCCTGGCCTCCACGTAGGCGGCCATCACCTCGTCCAAAGTGGTGGCCCTGGCCGTGTCCGCATTCGAACTGGACTTGGCCTCGTCGTCGCTCTCGCTGCTGTTGCTATCGCCGAAGTCCAAGTGGAAGTGCAGGTGGTTTGCGAAGTCCACCTGTCGCTGCTGGAGTTTCTGCAGCCGGAGCACCAGCGAACCCGTGGTGGTCATGGCTCTTTTGGCATTCACATCCAGGCGGGAGTGCAGTTCATTCTGTCCAACATCAAAGTAGCTAACAAAGTCGAAGAGCTGACGGCCGCCTATAAAATACCGGTTGAGCGAATCCAGCCAGGTGCCCAATGGTCGGATGCACTGCAGCTTAATGGATTTGGTGGCCAGTGGAGATATCAGCGAAATGGCATAGTGGGCATATCCCTCGCATCGCTCCCTTTGCCACCCATCGATGCTGATGACCTCGAAGTAGAGGTGCAGCAGATCGCAGGGCTGGTGCTGCTCCTCACAGAGAAGGGTCACCTGCCAGTTGTGACCCAAGCGGGCGATCCGCCAGTCACCGGCATTCCGGCAAGTGGCCGTGGCTCCCTGCATGGGATTCTCACCGGGCAAGGCTTCCCAGAGGGTGTTAGCCGGGGGTTTTAGGTAGTATCTCACATGGATATTGGGGTTCTCGAAGTACTGCCCCTCCTGCAGTTCCAGAAGCAGCGAAACCCTCCTCATTCTCTTCGGTGGCACCTCAAATTGCAGCAGATTGCGCTTTTCACTGGCCGCTGCTCGTCGTCTGTGGTAGAACTCCAAAATCTCCACAGCGGAGGCATCTTCGGGGAGATCTTCTTCGGCATCTTTCTCCTCCGGCAGGTCCTCTTCCTCCTCATTCTCCTCGGGGAGACTTCCTTCCCCTTCCACCACCAACGGTGTGGCATTCTCGAAACCAAAGGCATACAACTGCCGGCAGTCGTTATCCCGTTCGATCTGAACCACATAGTCCAGATCCTGCGCCTTGCAGCTGAAATCGGGATACACATACAGCAATCCCTCTTCGGGATCGTATCGTATGCTGACCAACAGAGTGTCCTGCTGCAGATCCGCGTATATATACATCAGCTGAAAGCCCTTCTTATGCCATTTCTTCGCTTCAGCGGGCAGGACATCCTCGGCATCGCCGTCCACAACAGTGTGGATGAGACAGGTTCTGGCCGCAAAGTCGGGATCCTCGACCATCGAAACATCCGACATGTTGGCCGAGGACAGGCCATTGACTCCGAAAACGGACACGGCAGTGGAGGATTTCTGCTTGCGCTTGGACTTGCGCATCTTGCGACGCACTCTAACTGGCTCCTGCTCCTCGTTGTCGTGGTCTTCCATCTTCTTGAAATACTGCCGCTGCAATTCCAGCGTTTCCAGTGCCCAGCTGTGATAGCGTCGCTGGAGCTTGGAGGCACAGCCCCCGGGATCAGGTACATAGCGCTCCAGTTCAGCCTGACTGAAGTGCTTCTGCTGCCAGGATATCATTATTGTGGCAATGCCACCGTTGCAGAGTTCCTTGTTCCTTTCGTAGAAGAGGTCACCAGCGGGGCGACTGCTTTCGCTAAATGCGCTCCACGAGGGATTACTTTGGTAGTCCGGCTCCTCTTCATCCTGCACTCCCTCCTCCTCCTTCTTTGCCTGGGAAACGGGACTCCTTCGCCTCCTCACAAGGTTTCCAGCATTGGGGTTTCCATTTCCCACGTTATAATAACTGCAATAGTAGCCCAAACGGTTCTGGCCACCGTAGGATTCATCGCCCTGCGGTATGTGAATAAAGCAATCCTGCCAGGCTTCCTCCTCCGATCCGGTATACTGCTCACCATTGGGGTACTGGGCGCCGATGTACTCGAACCTGGGCACCGGTAGCCATTCACTTATGTGCCGCAGCTTCAGTTTCAACTGCAGGTCCGCGATGTTACCGCTCACGCGGTAAACTCCCGTGCGCTTGATGTCCCTTCCTTTCTGCATTATTTCCTTCGGATTTTCTGTCAGGCCTTCTCTAATACATTTGTTTTGAATGTTTTGGCCTCCTTTTTTTTATTTTGCTTTTGTTTTTAGTTTTCGAATGACCGTTACCAAGGCAACCAGTTAAATAAATACCAAAGACTATCGATGATTCAAGGGTTGATAACTATCGTTGGGGAAAATGTAGCTTGAAAAATGTCAGTTAATATGTAATAATTATATTGACAGCATGTTTGCTCAAATTAAAAGTGTAAATGTGTTTTACTTTTAAATTATTATTATTATTATTATTATTAATATTATCTGTTATCTAAAAAAATTAATGCAAAATTATTCCCTTACAATGGTATGAATTATTATTACCAAAATATGTATCGAACGAAGATGTTATTTAGTTCAAGAATAAAACAAAAACATTTTCGTTCAAAGTTGCACAAAATTTGGTCTGAATGCCTTATTATAAAGTAGCTAAATTTGGCTATATCGAAGCCGAGCTTCCATCCCTGGTAAATACCAACAGCAGTTTGGTATTTTCGATTGGCAGTGCAGCCCCGTTATCGATTTTCGGCGAGCTTTACCGCTGTGTTTGTGTTATCGTCGGTTGCTCTTTGCACTCCACATTCCTCGTTTAGTTTTGGCCGCCAGTTGTGTTTTCGATTGCTCTGCGTGCTGTTCGCTCCAAATCTCCAACTCTCCGGCTCACCGATTCTTCGCGCCTGCTCCAACTCCCGTTTATCCGTCAGTTTGATTGTTTGTTTTCTTCGCTGCACTTTTTGCGCGCGCGCAACCGCCGATGAAATAAACAGAGAAAAACTTGGCGAAAATCTGCAGCGAACACTGGAAGTGCTACATTTTAACAGACAATCCACGTGAATGTGTCTAAATTGAAACATTTACTTTATTTTTTTTTTGTTCTGTTAAGTGTTGAAACGCATTTTTGAAGCAACCGCAAAATAAACTTTTAAACAAAATGCAACAAAAAGTTGAAGAGGTGAGTCTACGTGATTGGATAAGTGTTATTTCTTTAAATGTTCTAACATTTTGGTAAATAAAAGATATATAAAAAAATAAGTAAATATAAGTAAATAAAAGATATAGCAAATTGATATAACGATTTCATTCTTAGATATCTGTAGGTTCTATATTTTAATCTTATTGGAAAACCCAAACAAGTAAACATTTTTCTTTTATAACTGTTGTTAAAATAAACCAATTAAAACTATAATTGGGTTCAAATTGTCAAAAGTTATTTTTGTATGCTATCTGTATATTGTACAAATTATTAACGAACAAAATATCAAAATTTATACAAAACTTACCAACAGAAAATCTATAACCAATGCAAATCTAAACAATGTGTTTAATATGACAGTTATTCTATTAACTTTAAATCTAGTTTTCGTTTTTTAAAATGCTTAATTTTATAAGTAAAAGCTATTTTTGTCTTAACACTACTCATTAAAAAAGTTTGTATAAATTATTTAGTTCGATTAAGTTCTGGTTGGGATTATTTTTTTTTCTGTATTTTTCTAGTTCTTGGCTCTGTTTTTTTTTGTGTGTTTTCCTCCGCCTCCTTCTCCTTCCGCTCCTCTTCGTCTCCCTTTTCCTGTATTTCATTGAACTTAGTACGCCCCCGATGCTGCGCTGCCTCTGCTGACGTCGCTGCCGCTGTTCTGCCGTGACGTTCCATTGACTGATTTTCCCGACTTTCCGCAGAAAAAAACAACAGAAAAACCAAGCTACAAAGGCAACACCAACAACAATGCTCTGGCCACAATTGTAAAATGGTTTTGTTTGGTTTTTCATTTACATGTTGTTGTTCTTTTATTTTTTTTCTGTTTTCTTCTTCTTCTTCTGTTGTCCACAGGTGTGTTGGTGTGTGCCTCATTGTTGTTATTGTTTTTGGTGCTTTATTTGCACAGTTGGCAACGTTTTGTGTTTTTTTTTTTTGTGTTTCATATATTTTTGGAGCCGTCTTGATCTTTCTTGGGGGCCAAAACCAAAGTCATGGTAAGAGCTGTGAAATTTGTGATCGCCATTGTTTGGACTCCAATTCTCGTAGTACTCCAACTCCTCTTTCTCTCTTTCGTTCCCTTTCGAAGATGAACACGTCAAGATTTTTAAGAATTTAGGCCTTAAGTCCAAAAGTGTGCCACAAATGTCACAGTCCATAAACAATTTGTTCCGCAATCCTCTTCAACATGACATAAAATTTCTGAAATATTTTTTTATCTTCTTTATTTTTATTCGAAAAAAAGGTCTTCACATATATTCAAGAAAAGCTATTTTAAAAATCTTTTATTTTTGAAACCAAAAAAAACAGGCAAACTGTTATAAGAACTAACTAATTCAAGTACTGGACTTTTAGTTCTTCAATCGAACACATTTTAAAAGTAATGTTTTTTGCTACAGTTATTTTGTCATTGGCTTTTGTAAATAGTATAAGAAATGATTAAAAATAAGAACAATAAGTAGATAAGCAGATAACATCTGTTTTATCAACTTAGCCAACAGCCCAGAACCCCAAAGAAGTAAGCACCTAAAATAACAATGCTTCGTATAAAATACGTACAAAAAAACGATGAAACACGGAACCAAAAAGTCAGAAAAAAATGGCTTTTTGGCCTGGCCAATGCCAGTTGCAAGTAAAAGTCGAAAAACCAGTAGACAGAAGGCAGCGCTGGGAAGGGGGGACATTGAGCGAGATGACTGTCCGTGACCCAAATAAAATGCCTCGAGAATTGCAATGGACAAGTCGACAAATGATCGAGGGGGCGATGCAGAGGCGTCTGCCAAGAGGGGGGCACATGGTCAAGTGATTGAGACTGGCTGATTGGCCGTGGCAGCGGATTGAGCTCGAGGATCTCCCCGATTCAGGCGATTCAGGCCAAGCTGAAGATCTGCACTCGATCACCAGTCCATTTGGAAGAAGTGCCAAGAAAAAAGACGAGAGCAGAAGTCTAAGTCCATGAAATGAAGACTCAATTCCTGATTTACTGGATACACGCTGCATCTTATTTTTGACGCATTTACTGCTTTTTTTTAACAATTAAGCTAGGAGGGATATTAGGAGTTAAACCATTAATGATTTGCAAAGCAAAAGCAAAACTCTGCTTATAATAATAAGAGTTTTTGGATGAGGGTGGGATTAGTGTACATTGGGTTATTTGCAATCAAATCGTTTCTTATCAAGCTAATATTATAAAAAATCCCTGGAATACGAGTTGAGAAAATTTACTTTCGATGATAAAAAACCGAGACAAGTTTGTTAATTTTGTCTCCTACAATGTATCTCTCGATAACTCAGTTTTGCATTGGATGAACATCTTCACATGTTTTTTTTTCCATAATTTCCTTGTAAAACTTTTTCACAATTTTTCTGCGAGAAATGCCACCCAAAATAAGAGGAGAAGAAAAACCCCGAAAACCGGTTAGAATTTGATGCATCATTTCTGGTTGCTGCTGGTCGGTCTATTAAAATTTCGCTTTTTTTGCGCATTGCGGACGCAGACGGCGGTAGTAAGATTTTCACGTCGATTTTACCCGTTTGGCAATTGAAAGTAAAAATGCCCCGAAACCGGTCAGCCGAACAACAAAAAGTACCGTGAGATCCTGACGCCAGCAAGATAAATGCCTAATGAATGTCTTTATGCAGCTTCACAGCCAATACAAAGTTAGTGAAAAATGGAAATTACCCAGGCCATTAAAGAAACATAGACATAATTATTAGGTAGGTGGTGGTGGAAAAGATGGACTACCTGCTCTTGTTAAGCGGCCGGAGGGAAAACGTTTGGCGATCAAGGTGGACAATGGCCAACGGGCGTATCGGACCAAAATCCGAAGAACCCAAAGACCCCAAGCCCAAGACTCCAACTCCAATGTAATTACAAATAAACGCAGGTGGCTAGATGAAAGAGGGGATAGCCGAACGTAACCTCTCTCGTGGTGGGAGATGGCCCAAAGCACACGGCTAACAGCAAACAGGCAAAGTACGCTGAAAAATTAAAAACAAAAAAACATACACAACGAAAAAAAATTGGAAAAAATAAAACAAAACTCGAAACTTGTCGTGCGTCGATCGCCAAAGGGGTGGGGGAAAAAGGTGGAGGTCAATGTCTGGGTTCAACGACTCCTGACCTCTGGCAATCTGAAAAACAAACAGAGAAAACCCCCCAGAAACAACAGTTATTACTGAAGCACTCAAACCGAAAAGATGGGAGATATTATCTCGAAAAACTGGAGCAGTTGAAGGTAGCCAAAGCGAAGATATGGAAAACGAAGCAAGCCAAATGGATTTGTGGAGCCGAGAATCCTCCTCAGTCGGATAAGTTAATTATCTACTAATTATAGGTGGCCGAAACAAATCTGGATTATATGTAAATCTGGAAGTGGAGCTTGAAGAAATGTGTTTAACAATCGTAAAATTATTTATTTGTCTAATCTAAATGCTTAATAATAAAATGGGTGTCTAGAAAGTCTAGATCTTGAGTAGGTAAGTCTAGAATAGGTGTTCTTAATAAATGGAAAAAAGGTTACATGGAAAAACAGGTTCACGAATTTATAACTTTGCGTTTAACGATCCTCAGATTTTATCTATATATAAAAAATCTAATAAATAACTGATGAGTTTTAAGATTCGCATCAAAATTTGATCCACAACAGATCAATCATTTTAGAACATCACAGAACCCATTAAAAAGGTGATTAATTGGCGGGTCTCAACCATTTTAAATTTTAAAGCTTCTAAGTACCATAAATCCATCATTTAGTATTTTTAGGAGTGTGCTATAATGACTATCCCTAAATCAGATTACCTTAAAAAAGCGCGAGTTAATATATTTGCGTAAAACGGTTTTAGGTATTTGGTTACTCCCAAAAGTTTTCGTAAGCCTTCTGGGAAACCCTTCACTCTCTCTCTTCTGGGAACTCCCAATTGCATCTCGGGGTCCAAATCTCGGCGACCGTTTCGAGACTGCGAGTGCAACGGGGCAGCCCACAAACAATGGCAAATAAAACAAATATTATGCATCATAAATTTCACCGACGGCGAAACAAAAACCAAAACCGGTTCATTTCAGTTCTGGCAATGAACTCAAAAGGCAAAGACCCAGACCCACAAAAGCCAGACTCCCAAATGGATGGATGGATGGGTGATGGCGAGGTGTAAAAGCGAAATGCTCCCCGATTACGAAATCGAATGAGCACCACATATCCGAATCTGAATAATAATAGTAATAAGACGCACATAAAACATTTCGGCCGATTAGAAATTCAAATGAGAGGGGGTCTGTTTCTCGTTTCTTGTTTCTTGTTTCGAATGAAAAGTGAATGGGAATGCGACGACGACGACCGTTAGGACTGAGGCAAGCGTTTAAATGCCCCACAACAATGCAATGTTTTCCTTTATAATATTCAGGTCTGTTTTCGAAAGTGATTTGAACTACATTTTATGCGGCAATCTCCCTCCTAAACAAAATGAAACCAAAGCGAACCACACCGAACTGAACTGAACAGAAAACCTAATACCGATGCAGTTGCCGCGTTTCTTAATTGATCGATCGCAGCGCGTTTACCGTTGGCCGGCTGATATAATTGCCGGCCGCAAGTCGATTTTATAACTCCGAGTCGGGCCAGAAATCAATTAGCCATAACCCGAAAACCAACCGTGTCAATCAAAGTGAAAGAAGTCATCGCCAGTCGTCGCTTCGTCGATTATCTCACAGATAGATTTTCGTTCGATTGCAGCGACCATAACACATAATTGCTAATAAATAGCCTGTAATTAGTAAATCAATTGATCGTATGCCACGGATACCTCGGCCGAATTGATTCGCTGTCGTTGGCTGTAATTTCCGAAGCGACTTACCGATCCACGACCGCTGATTAGCCGGGTTAGTTATAGGTTTCCCCCAAAAATTGATATTTCGTCGCGGTGCTGCAACTCTTCAGTTGTCTTTTCGCCGAAGGAAAGAAAAGTTGTGGTATTTGATG